TACTATTCAATTGCGATATCTCTCTATAATGAAACATGATTTATCGAACGCATAGCATTCCTCTTATCGAATATTCTTACTCACCATTATCATTTTCCTTGCAGTCGTTAAAACGTTATCAATAATATACAAGAATAATGACGTTTATCGGTAATGTGTAATAAGAATAATGAGCTGAGAAGTGAAATACCGTTTCGCGAATGAACGCCTATTTCGAAATTTGGACAGATTTGGCACGTTTTATTTCTTTATCATAAAATTATTATAACGAAACGATCGATATTTTGCTCGGAGGGCAACTCAATTTCTCAAGAATTCAATGTTCTCTTCGTGATAATTGGAACTCTTCGAGATGGCCTGCATATACAACAAGGACCAGTTTCATGCATCGGAGATTTCTCAAGATTATCGTAAATCTTATGATGAAATTATCAATGGTACGCGAATAAAAAAACAGCTTATTCAAATGGAATTGCTCGTCACGGTTGATGTTACGATACACAATACATTTGCGAAATTAGATCGCAGCGTTTCGATGAAAAGTGGAGCGTTATTGCGTCACGCGAAGTGAAGTACGAAGAAAGTTTAGCATAGCGACTAATCGGGCATGGGATTTTGAGATCTCGACGGTCCGACTCTCTCTTTTTCTCTCTTACTTGCTTCTTACATCTTTACGTAGAAAGATACGTGGACGTGGCACGCATACGTACACAGGCAGCACGAGCAACCGGAGTAATTTAAGTGCTGTAAACCGCCGTGTATGTCATAGCGAGATTTTTGCAATACGCGATTTGCGCAATAAGTCGCGCAGCCTCTTCTAGACTCGAAATTGGCAAACTCGACTCGCATCTCTTTCTTCTCTCTAAGCGCGTCTAGATTCCGTCCAGAAGACCCGCGCGTTCGAGTCGATCATATTCTGCGTGCGTGCTCAATCGGACGGCAAACAATGGTGCAATTAGGGGCACGTGGGCGTTATTACAGACGTAGATATTTACCTTGTATCTTTAAGTATTACAAAGAGAGAACAGTCATCTTGGAATTACGCAGGCGAACTGCGCAGTAAACCGTACCGACTACTGAAGTCCGAAGTAAATTTTTTTTTTTTCAAACAAGATCCACGAATTAATAATATCAATTTTCGATGTAACTTTCGATATTACTCGATTTTCTAATGTTTTACAAGTCGAAATTCTCGTGGGGGGTAATTTTTACTTTTTTTTTTTTTTTCCCCTATCTCCGCGTATAACGTAATAATTTTAGAAAGTCGCGAACGATTTATCGATAGCGATTAAAGTAATAGAGTAGCAAATAACAGAAGCCTACTGACCTACATTACCCATGCCGGACGACCTTCGCCATGTATGATTCATCGTATTTTGTTCTCGACTTTCCAAGTTCTTGTGAAATAGTCTATGTACCGCGGATTTCTTCACGGGGATGCTTACTGCAATCGCATCAACCGAGCTTCTTGTTACTGACGGAGCAATCGTCAGTATGCGCGGGTCATTGCTTCCTACGTTTTCGAGAAACAAAGACCGGGTCAACAGTACTTGCTCTTTGTTTTATATTTTGCTTTTTCTTCAAACAAACCGCTCTCTTCCCGAGCGATAAGAACCCGCTTTCCGATCGCAACACATGACCGCACTCTGATCCGTGCTGTGAGTACACGCCTTTAGATGCGATAAAAATTATACATGGTAAATTTCGAAAATCACAATGCTAATTTTATTTACGAACCATTGTACCTAATATATAAGAAACCACTTGAACACACCTACAAAGTCTCTGTTTGATTAGTGAGACGATTATTATTTAACGCTTAACGGTTATTATTTGGCCCAGTTATAACTAGCATGATAAATCCGAGTTAGATAGGCTCGCAATAATTTATGATCGGCGATATTCGCGTTTCTATAATGTCATATTTATGTGCATAGGGCAACGTTGATTCATAAAAAAGTAATTATATAAGCTCAATGTGTTATACAGCATAGTCCTCACGATCATAATATTGTGCACTCAAGCAATAAACGTCATTAGGTGATAAACTATCATAGCGAAACTATCTTACGAGGCAATAAATGTTAACTACAGGGTATTTCAGTATGGGAATATACAGTATTCCGGAATATACAGGATACTCTAGAAATCGTGTGTTTCCTGTGGAGTGCCCCAAGCAAAAAAGGATGTTATCGAGTTTCTTAGAAACAATAATGGTCAAGACAAAAAGACATATTTTTTACATTAAACGGACAATGTCGCAGTCAGTAAAAAAATAGAATTTTTATCCATAGCTTCTCGTCATTTAATTTAAACAGGTAAATTTTGTTGAAATAATTGATTTCTTATTTAAAAAAAAAGATTTGGGATTACAAAAAAAAATACATGCTAAACAATGCAACAAGCAGACATCGTTTCAAAGAGCAAAGGTATACCGGCAATTAAAATATCTCATCTCACTTTAGGCTTTTAATTAATTATATTATTATGGATCTTGAACGATCTATATGCGGCAGAGATTTGCATACGATCCTTTTCATCGCTCGATCTACATCCTAGAATTTTCAAGCGCTGTCTCGGCATGCGTTTACGTAAAAGCGGTTCGGAACCGGTTCGCCTTGAATTAAAATTGAAATAACATCTTATTGTGTCATTACGATTTAATGCATCCTCATGTTCGGTTCGAAAATATTTATGCACGAGCAACCAGGTGGCCAGATTAAGGATACTCGTATGGATGACACATACGTGACAATGATGGCACTTATCTTCCTCGGAGACTGTTAAATTGCCACTTTACGTGCATACATAACGATCTTATGGCAAAACAGCACTAACGCGAAACGCGCACGTGAACGTAATGCGGAATGCGTCTTTAAACATTTATCCCGCTGTTACTTTCGTACGAAATACTTTATCCGGGTGGTCAGATGAATGAAAATAAACAGTAGTTCCTTGCCCGATACTTACAGGATAACAATTACACGAGCGAATATTTTTGCGACGCAATCCGGTAGTCTCGAAGATTAACGTTCCATTAAATTATTTTAACTTCGGTTCAAATTTATTTGTTATCCTTTTTCAATTCTTAGAACCGAAAAAAATAAAAATAAATAAATAATTAAAATTAATCTATATTGTTGGAAAAGGATATAAATATTCCTCGAACATTTTTTCACTTATTAAAATTAAAAAAAAAAAAAAACAAAATTTTAGGAGCGCGATATTAAGAGACGTTCGATTTTTCCCTTGTGTGATTAAAATTATTTATACTTTTGAGTGTAAAGTTTTAAAGTCGAAGAACGACAGTCTGAGAATCGTTCCGTCGAGCTCACGCGTAAGGCCCATTGTTTCACTGTTTATGCAGTTCGTGACATGGGAAACAGACATGCAAAGTCTTGTGGTTAACGTACTTGTCTTTTTCCGCGAGACAGACACGTGCGTTGTAATAATAGCCTAACTTTAAATCAAGTGTTCCCGTTTAGGAGACCGCGATTGCTGAAGCGCCGTTTGGCCACCATTATCTTCTCATCTACTTATGATTTTGAAATAAGAACACGAGTGAAATCGAGAGTTATAAAGCCGAGAAGTCAAGTTGTACGAGCTTAATAATCATATCCTTGTATCGTTATCGCTTCTTCGTATCAAACTAATAAATTTTTTTCTGTCGTATATATCAAGAGATATTTTTCTTTTGCTTTTGTAAATTCTTCCGTTTCTATCACAGAAGTAGCAAAATTTTTTCGCACATTGGAAGTGAAACAAGGTTGCACGTTTACTTTGTATTTCGAAAAGCAATTTTTTACGTTTGTTTTTGACCAGCAAAAAATGAAACCTGTTCTTCGAGCAAGTCGAAAACGAACGAGTAAAGTAATAAATTAGAAGAAATTTTATAACTTAAAAATAGGCCACATTCTAAGAATATTAGAATGCTTGGTAGCAAACAAATATTTTATATCTTTGACATGATAAAAAAAGACATTTATTCGAAAATACAACGAAATTCTTTTATTATAATTCTGATTTAAATTTTTCTAATTTAAACATTTATTATTCATGATGTGTAAAACAGACACTGTTCGTTATTTTAATTAGCTTCTCACGTCTGATCAGATAACATGTATAATAAAATATGCACAATGATTCGAATTTCTAATTTTTTAATAAAAAAGCAATAGATAGAATAAAATCTGTAATGTCAAACATTATATGATGAATTTATATCAATTGAAAAAATACACAGATTATTTAATTGTTTAATTAGTATAAAAAAATATTTTATTCTTTTTTTATTGTTGTATAATTGATCAAAAATTGGAATTAATAAGTTTGAAATGATGCTATATTTTAGCTTTTTACATCGCAGCTTACTCATTAGCAATTAAAGTTGCTCTTCCGGTTTTACATCTATGTGAATCACACAAACGAACTGACTATCCAACATAACGAGCTTATTTATTCTGGACTTTGCTCCATTCTCTGTGTCTGATATCTACGAGATATTAGTAATTGATGTCACAAAAAAAAAACTCGGAGATTACGCTTACATCTCGGTACGACGGTCAATATTAACAATATTTGACTGATGATCGAACAAATAAAATATTTAATGCTGATTAATCAGTGAGTGTTTATCAAGCACATCGCCACATGTGTACATTAATACATTTAATTATTTGTTATTATAGATGATATACAACATGCATCTATACAAGTTTGTTTTTTGCGATATGCGATATATTTATTATTAATAAAAGAAATTATCAAATAATAAACAACAAATATATTCTGTATTACTTTTTATTGCATCATCTCATGTATTCGCGTTAAAAAGATAAAAAGCAAACTAAAACTTTTTTAATACTTTTCGCACAATCTATCTTTCGAAAATATCTTTTGGCGATGTGTTATCTCAGAATGTTACGACAGAGGGAGTACTTTTTAGTAGAAGATTCTTCTTTCGCATCCACATGGGTCTGATGGTTTCACTTCGTTTTCAGATGTGAAGACAATTCTCAAGTCCGTCAGCGGCAGACTGCGGTCCAGCGAGCTGACGGCTATTATGGGCCCTTCTGGTGCGGGAAAGTCAACGCTCCTAAATATCCTCACCGGATACAAGTGAGTCAGCGTGAGTCGTGGAGTTAGTACATGATACATTTATTGCTAATAAAATAACAACGTAATCGTTACGAAGTGCGGTGCTAAGCGACTAAAGCGAGCGTATAAAGGATGCGCATTTTATATAAAATACAATCATGCTCGAGTTAATCGAGAGAGATATATAAACTTGCACGTACTTGTCATCTGTTTTATCATAACAGCTTGCAAATTAACGTATATTCCTACCCTTACAAATGAGCTGTAGTGGCAGATAAAAGGATCATTTTATTCATTTCAATCAGCCACCGCTAATAATATCTTATGATTCACTCGAACGTTCATATGTACGATTGTCGCTCTAATTATTTCTCTATATGTCACCAAGTCCGTGCTGTTAAAAAGAAGATTGCAAAAAGGAAAATCAAAAAGGATAGGAAGTGAATCACTTGGAAATAACGAGCGCGATCGTGTTATTGCGATTAATTTATCTTCCGGACTGGTCTTCATAAATTTGCAATTTTATAATACGTTTTTTTCAATGTATCTTCCTTTGTATCTTTCCTTTCGTATCTTTATTTGTATTAAATCATATTATTTTTCAATTTTCACTTGATATATCGCTATAAAAAATATATTTTATGAACTTCTATTTTTTTTAATATTCTTCATAAATCATACACATTTTAGCACACGGGGATTCAAACTGCTAGCGACTTTTTGCAATCTTTAGTTCCTTTAGTTCCTTTAGTTTCTCGCGCTTTCTTAAGATTAATCGTCAGGTTATCATCAGGTTATTAGTCAAAACGTCAAATAGCAGGTGTATTTCCTGCGAGGCAAATCCTCGCACCTATCATTTATATGTCGATAAATAATGTGTGCGACACACATTAGGAAAGCGATTAGAGAAATAATGCGATGCGACATTCTTTCTCTTTTTCTTGATAAAAATTTGTATCTCAAGTTTATAATTTTCATATAAAAACAAAATTAATCTCGAATCAAGATAAATATTCTCATATAGCGAGCAAGAATATTACAATTTTACAAATTTTAGTCTTGATTGAATTTGATGCAAGTATTATTTTTGCTCAATTCAAGATTAAAAATCTTCTATATATGAAGTTTATAATATTTTTGCTCACATATGAGAATATATAGTTTTAATTTAAGACTATTTTTTCCTGTAAAGGTATTTGGACGCTCGTACAGTTCTGTACGATAATTTCCGTAAATTCCGTTTCTTCTTGCGGGAAGATCTTGCCGTATAATCTCGACGTGACCTCGCGCACTTTCAATTTTTTAATTAAACCTTGCCCGTTTCGCTTTCTTCGTCATGCTACGATCTCACTTTCTTCGGAATACAGTCTCACTTTCTTCACGTTTTGTACCGTTACGAAACTGTTCCGGAACCGGAATATCCATCCCGCCAGTTACATTCGAAATAAAAGAAACTTTATTTGCGCAAATGTCAAATTTTTCAGCAAACACATGCAGCTCAGCCGATACACGAAATCGCATAGTGAAAGACGGCTAAAATTATTATGGAAGTTGACAGCGCATTCGGCGTATAGACTTTCTACTTCGACGTACTGTCTTCGGTTGACTGCTACCAAAACGTTCTGCTTGATGAAGCAGTCTATATTTGTATTTCTTCAAGAATACTCGGGGAGAAATATGTAAATCGCCGCAGAAAAATTTATAAGTCCACTTTCAGTCTGTTCATTTTATTATTATTATATTACGTTGAGGTATCGCCAGTAATATGACATATGTCTATCCGACGTTTCTCATTTAAAGAAATAATTATATTTCCAAATGCTCCTAGTGTCGACGAGTATTGTCTGGCTAGATATTCGCATTTCGCATTCCGCATTGCAAAAAAGGTCATTTGCGTATAAATCGAATAAGTCAACTGGCGATGTCAAGGCGCAAGTTCCCACTGTATAATCCCACTATATTTTACATGGAGTGATTGTGAGATCAATCGCCGGCAAGAAACCAGCGTGACGTGCACTTTTTGCTACGTTTGCCTTTAAATTGTACGTACAAGGGCGTTGCAAATGACACCTTGAGAAACGCTTTCAGATCAAACTGCACGAACCGGTTTTCGAGAGGTGCATTTTATGGAAACCGACATACAAATCCGATCGCTAATTGCACGGTGCGACAACGTTGTTCGATCGCTTTTCGATCGGCACAGTCAATTACAAGGCGCAAAAGCGATATATCCGTAATTAAAACAAATGATTTTATTTACAATATTTTGATTTTTATGTCGCAATCTATTTAAAGGAATATTGTGTGTATAACGTATCTAGCATCTAAAAAAAATGTATAGATTGTGACGTATAATTTTATAGATATAGATATAGATGTGATCGGTGGGATCGAAGTGATCGGAGATCACTTTCCGCTGATCCATTCAGTTTCGCCCAGTTGGACCGTGTGTACGATGGAGGAAATATTACAAGATTAAATGTAACACTCAAAGGATGTAAATAAGCATAAGATATCCCATACGACACAAACTTTGCTGTTACAATATTACAGCAATGTTACTGCAATATAGTTACAAGATATATGCTATAACTATATATCTTACGTATGTCTATTGTGCGTTATATTTGATTTTTATTCCGAATTTTCATTTTCAAAATTTATTTCTGTTCCTGATATTTCTTTCAGAGTCAAAATCTATCAACTTTTCGCTCGTTTTATGCAATATTCGCAATAGCATCGTAGGTACGATGCGGTCTGCCTGCAACGTGACCTATGTACTCGTTGCTGTGTAAAAGTTGTTTCACCGCTTATTTACTTCTTTTCCATCGCGTTTTCCAAACCAGTTTCGTAGCGCGCTATGCGTGCTGTGTATCGCGTCATGCGCATCCGTAATTGAAAACGTTCTCGTGGCACACGTACGATCTGACATTGAATCTCTCTCTTTTTCCCCCCCTCCCTCTCTCTCTCTCTCTCTCTCCATGCGATAAATCGAAAAATCGATGAATTATTAATCTATATACTTGGTCGAGAATGTTGACGGAACGATATATTTGTGACTGGCCTTTAGATTTCTTAGCGAACATTTCATTTATTCATTCTGATGTAAGAGCGAATGAAAGACGTCACATTCGAATTCTAATGAAGATACGCGTGTATATATATATATATAAAATTTCTCATAAATTATTTTTACAATATGCCTGACTCTGTAAACAATCGCTATAGCGTAGCGATGATGCAGGCATATCAAGATCGTTTTGCAAATTATTTATCATAAATTTTTTTATCAGGACGACAGGTGCGGAAGGTAGCGTCACGATGAACGGCCACGAAAGAAACCTCAGTGCCTTTAGGAAACTCTCTTGCTACATCATGCAAGATAATCAGCTTCACATGAATCTAACGGTAGCGGAAGCTATGAAGGTTGCAGCGAACCTTAAGCTCGGCTCACACGTTAGCCAAGCAGAGAAAGAAGAAGTGGTAAGCCAGTCCTCTTACTCGATCGCTTTTCAAATCATTGAATAATAACAGTTAAATGCAGTTATTTTATTATTTAAACAAATGTCACATAAAATAATAATATATAAAAATACTGTACATAGCAATTAAATTCATTACTGCAGTGCTTATTTTTCATTTATTTTACACTGCGTTATAAGAGAAACTGTTAACTATAATTATTAAATTTATATAAAAATGTTATTAATTAATTATATTTAATTATGTAAAACAACAACGCATTCCTCAAACTGGTTTTATTGACATGTCTATAAATTCTTCCGCAGATTCAGGAAATCCTTGAAACTCTCGGTCTATCTGAGCACCGCCGTACTATGACCTCAAATCTGAGTGGTGGTCAAAAAAAGAGATTATCCATCGCGCTAGAATTAGTCAATAATCCCCCTATTATGTTTTTCGACGAGCCGACCAGGTAAATTTTAAATCTTACGCGAAACATAATTAGTATTTGTGATGATATTTGCATAAATAATTCGAAAAACAATTTTAAATCTGATGCATTAATTTAAGTATATCATATAATTTAAGTATATATATATATATATCAAGAGCAAAGTTACAGTATATCGATAAATAATTATTCATAAATGTTTTACAATTATTTTAATTTGCTGTATACATAACGATTTTAATAAAAGAGAATCAAGTTTGTAATACGATCAATGAGAACAAAGGACAAGGAAAACAAACGTGCACAATGCTCGAGAGCATATTCGAGAGCTTAACTAAATAGATCTCGAGTCAATCAACTGACAGGAAAAGTAGTAATGATCTCTTTTGCTTTCTCCAAATGAGACTCGCGAGAGAAATCTCCTACTCCGCCTTTCCTTGATCTTCAAATCTCGGCTCGGCACAATGTCAGCAGGATATGTCAGCCACGTTTTTACAAAGATTGCGGAAGCAGGCGATCTTTTTTAGCTTTTAATAAACGACATGCGATTTATATGTTGAATTTCTCCTTGCAACTTTCAAACAACAGCCAGATTCCAGTTTTGCAAGTCTGTAACTTTGGGATTTATCACGAAACGAAATTGGATTATACGGAAATTGTTTGTCCCAAAAGACTCTACCGAGTCCGTCACGGAAAATTAAATGATTTAATTAATTCGATCGTTACATTTTCGATTTATTTGTCGCTCTGGAATAGTGATTGATACACGCTTTAAGCCGTGCGTTGATAGAAAAATATAGAGAAATTAGATACGTACAAATCTCGAATGTAAATATCCGGAATTCCTCTCTTAATCGAAATGAGACACAAAAGGGCGTAACACACAGCGGAGAAAGTAAATGATTAACTCTCGGCTTTTTGAAACGTTTCTTCCTCGTCCACTTTCACTGGGACGGCACTTCGGAATTTTTGCATCTACAATGACTCCATAGCTCATTCTACGACTCATCGAATGAAACGATAATTTTGATAAACCGTCTCATGTTCGCGAGGCGTAGATGTAATATAATACTAAAAAAATTTACATACTAGTGTCAAACTTTAAAGTTTGTGATCAATTTGCTGACTTATAATGTCACGTATCTTCTCGACGTTTCTTTGTTCGTTAACCGGTTTTTTCAAAGGTCGTTCGGTTTCATTTTTGTTCCATGATAATAGAAGATGACGGTTACGGTTACGGTCTCGACCGGTCCTTTCAGGATTTATACTTGGACCAAGAACTTGACTCTCCTTTAAAAATACAAAAATACACACATTTGCTCTGCCTTAGCACCGTCTTTCACATGTTAATTATTCCGGATATCAGAGATAATTTTTAATGGGATGTTTAATATATGCTATCAAATAACTGTTTTATGCGGATAAACAAATGTATTATGTATAATTTTACTCTGTCACGAATGCGTGCGAGGGGATGTGGGAAAGATAGAAGAAAAAAAAAGAAATAAAAGTACATTGTAGCGATACTAATTGATTTTATCCGGCTATTTACAGCGGCCTGGACTCGTCGTCTTGTTTTCAATGTATCTCTTTACTGAAGACATTGGCACGAGGCGGTAGGACGATAATCTGCACCATTCACCAGCCAAGTGCGAGGCTCTTCGAGATGTTCGATGCTCTCTACACGTTAGCCGAAGGACAATGCGTTTATCAAGGTTCTACATCGCAACTGGTGCCTTTCCTCAGGACAATTGGCCTTAATTGTCCGAGCTATCACAACCCGGCGTCGTTTAGTGAGTACTATTAAATGGAACTAATGAACAGCATTTTGTAATATAAGCGTTTTATATCGGAGCGAAGCGAATTGAGGGAAATAATTTAAAAAGAAGTCATCAAGATTCTGTAAAGTCTATTTTTATCTATAATGAATTGGTAATCTTCTTGTAATTTTTTGTTACTCTAACAATTTTGACACGATTCCCTATCTTTTTTTCAGTCATTGAGGTGTCATGTGGCGAATATGGCGATAATATCAAGAACTTGATTAACGCGATAAACAACGGCAAATATGATATACGCGAAGGACACCCTTTTCCCGAGACAAAAGAGGGAATGAACAATTGCACTGCTGCGGCCGGTATTTTGAAGAATGGTGATAATCTGGACAAAATAAAGATTAAGGACAAGAATGACGTCAGTAATCTAGAGGAGAAGTTTTCAGATGACAAATCTAATGAGATCAGTAATGGAAAACTTATTCCCGTCTACGCCACAAACGACATTGCTAAACAAGGTGCATAATATTTCTTTTGTATTTCGATAATGGCCGCGACATGAGGATTTGTTTGTAGATAGCTTTAAGTAACATAATTTATTGCAATTACGAATTGAATCTTGGCCTTCTGGAAAAAATTATCCATAATGTAAACCTTGATTTTCTCTTTGCTATAATTGCCATTTTAAATTCATATTTCAGATATTTTGTTTTTATTATAGTGGAATATTTTCCTATTCAAAATTTCTAGTTAGATCAACTTCTTTTTCTATAACGCAATCTTATAGATGCGAAATTTGTATTATTATTATTTATTTTTCATTCGAAAAATAACGTAAATATTAAAATTATTGTTTTAGTGATGGATGTGGCAATACCTGTGGACCCGGATAAGAAGGACAATGCTAATATGCCCCTGCTCGATGAATCTCTCGCGGTAACGCCGAAGAGATATCCCACATCCGAATTTACACAATTCTACATCATTCTAAAACGTGCCTTACTCTTCAGTTTTAGAGATTGGGTAGATGTTTAAAGAATTGGAATTTATATTTCTTTTGACCTTTAGACATCATTTAATTTTAACATTTCTCAAATATATTCACAGACTCTCATGTATCTCCGATTGTTCGCTCACTTCCTGGTAGCGTTGCTAATTAGCGCGTTGTACTACGATATCGGAAACGACGGTGCCAAAGTACTTAGCAACTTGGGATTCCTGTTCTTCAACATGCTATTCCTCATGTACACTTCCATGACAATCACAATTCTGTCTTGTAAGTCGAGAATCCGAGAAATTAACGCTTTTTAATATTTCTCACTTATAACGTTTATTTTTCGTCATCTCTATAATTCATTTTCAATCACATTTCTTCGTTTCTGTTTTCAGTCCCGCTGGAACTGCCTGTGCTCTTAAAAGAGAATTTTAATAGGTGGTACTCTCTCAAGTCGTATTACTTAGCGATTACCATTTCGGATATGCCATTTCAGGTAAGCTCGATCGAGTGACGGAATAAACGAAGTGATATACAGCCATGATGAATGAACGATCACTTTCACATTCCTCATTTTTCAGACCGTGTTTTGTATATTGTACGTCGCCGTCGTGTATTTCCTGACGAGCCAGCCGGCGGACGCGACGCGGTTCTGCATGTTCGTGGGCACCTGTCTCCTGATTTCTTTCGTTGCGCAATCGGTAGGTCTTGTGGTCGGCGCCGCGATGAACGTGCAGAACGGTGTGTTCCTCGCACCGGTGATGTCGGTGCCGTTCCTCCTCTTCTCCGGATTCTTCGTCAGCTTCGACGCGATCCCGGTTTATCTACGGTGGATCACGTACCTTAGTTACATCAGATACGGTTTTGAGGGAACCGCTTTGACCATTTATGGCTATGGTCGGGAGAAATTGAAGTGTTTCCAGGTAGATTTCAGGCTGTTGCGCTAGAAACATAAATTGTCACAAAAAATAGTCGGTTATTATAAATTATTAAATTTTCGTGTGTTTTCAGATATATTGCCACTTCAAGAATCCAGAGACGACACTGGAGGAATTGGACATGCTTGATGCCGACTTTACTTTGGATATTCTCGCTCTCCTACTCATCTTCGTCGTACTGCGAATCGCCGCGTATCTCTTCCTACGTTGGAAGATCAAGAACGTCCGATAGATTATTTTGGACGCGCGTAAGCAAATTGCAAATTAAATGTGGTTATAAATAGACGGTGCTGCTTTCCGCATAGGACTGCGCAAACAATAACGCACATTTCATAATCGGTAATCTCGTAATGTTATTTTTTTAAATGGCGATACGAAAACTCGGTTTCGGCGCCTCACAACAACAGTCAAGACACAAAGAACTTTCCGCGATGGATTTCCGTGGCATTTCTCGGTGAAAACTTTCGTGACGAAAGCTATTAGCTATTCATTCTGTCGAAGAGGTACTAGTGTGTCTCGAAAGTATCGTGAAGTATGACTTAAGTATGACTCTTCTTTTGTGTTTTAGGATTGCTGAATTTAATTGATGTAGGAGCAATAACGTAATTTATTTATATTTTTAGTTTAGTAACGATGACGGCAGGTAGTTACGATTGTAATATATTTTCAGGGTACTATTTTATAATGTATTATATCTAAAATATCTTCCCTTTTTTACTATGTCAGTACATATTCTTGTTAGAACATGACCAAATACACACATTGATTTTGAATTTATCAAATAAACTAAAGTTCATTAATGCAATGTAATTATCATACAGTGATAAATTCGAGACTTTGAATTCAGTTTGATATATGATGAAATTCTTGAATTATTTCGAATATTAATCCAAACGGAAAGATACTTGAAAATTTCTTGATAATTTTTTGATTTGAATATTTTCTTTGAATATTTTCTTTTTTTTTATTCATTTCTTTTTTAAGATATTTCAATTTGCTATATTTTGGGAGTAGACAGAATAAACTCAAAATTTTTTCAAAGTTTCTCAAAATTTTTTAAATATTCAGATATTTAAATACTTTCAAAGAAAATTTGTTTGAGAATTCTCTAAATAAAAGTTTTGATATATTGAAAACTTTCAAAATTTTTCAAGACTTTCAAGAATTTTTTTATTTTGAATGATCGAAGCGACTGGAATTTTTATATTGCATATATTATAATGTTTGAAAATTTTCAAGAAAAAATTCAATTCGTTAAATTATGCAACTTGTCAGGAAGATAAAGCGAAAAGATTAATTTACGCATGATCCTTAGAAGGGTTTTGTCAAATGTTTTCGATTGTGTCTACTCTTTGTGGACGAATACGAGGTCTTAATTGATGACATATATTTCACGAGCAATCACTTTATTCTATCTACTGATGTGAGCTTAATGATGCAAAAAAAAAGAAAAAAGAGTTAAATGAAATCAAATGTGAATGTATGTGTTCTTAAAATTAGATTTGGATGAAAATGACGATAAACGTCCGAGATAATTTATAAGTGCACAAATTTATATGTATCTTGCCAGATTAATGCTTTATATGTTGATGATCAAACATTTTTAATGCTTTACAAAAAACAGCTGTTTGATGGATTATATCAAAACAGGCATTTATGCACTATCATAAAAACTTATAAATATTCTAAATCGCATTTTGTCGTTGAAGACGAAATGGCAAATGTACATGAAGATATTTCTTAGACAACTTATTACACTTAATAATGAATATATTTTGTTTGTGTTAATCACTTATTATATTATATTATATTATGTTATATTTAAAAACTGATGTAAAAATCTAAATCTTTTTGACAGCAAAATGAATATTTTTACAACCAAGAATCTTTTTATAAAATTTTCCAGAGCGAGTTATTAAATTATTAAAATTATTCATTTTTGTTTATGAATTGTTATTACCTTTTATATACAGAATGTACTGTTATTCTTCTAAACATTCTTGAATTCCTGATCTTGTTAAATAGTTAAGTGGTAGAAAGAATAAAACTTGTACAGACGGAAAGGGAAATAGCAATTTTAAGGCAATTCTATATAATTATAAATTATATAATATATAATATATAAAATGTGTTTTTTTTTATATATTTTCGTAACTCACCAAAGTTAAGAATTTGAATCAGCGATTTAATTATAAATATAATTGCGTATTAAATATCGGCGCTCAAAGGGACAAAGTAATCTTTACAATACGTATATGTATATTTTTATCTAGATGAAATATAATTCATAATACAAATATACTTTTATAAATAAGGTGCCTATCGAGACATATGTATCTATATCGGTTTGGCATAATCGTTATTATAGCTTACATTGTATGTACGATACGAATAAAATATACTTTTCATAATATGATAAATTTCAATCTTTGTTATATTATAATTATTTTTCTCTTTATTCTATTATTTTCTTCTATTATTTTTCTCTTAATCACCTTTCTGATGTCTTGTTATAATAATTTGACTCTTTATCTAGACTCTTTTATTTAGAAGATTAGAAATATGAATCTCAAGTCAGATCATTTATATACAATAAATGGAATAATATCATGTCACGACACAATATTAATTGTATCAGAAAACATGTATCAAGAAAATAAGTTTAAAAAATATTTTTTAACTTTTGACCAGATTGATATGATGAATTACAATTTCTTAATTATATTTTTTTATTTAGCTGATATACAATAAATTTTTTGTCTATCTGAGATTTATGCACTACAAAGAAAATACATACGCCATGATATTACGTAATATATTATGATTTTTAATGGTATGACAT